ATGGATAATATAGGATTATTATTAGTCAAATATTTAACCTAGTAATTTGTAAAAGTTTCAAATTGCACCCTATAGGTTTTATAGTTTAAATTTGAACTTAAAAGTTTTAGTTGTTGAAATTTAAATAGTTAAACTCTGATGTTTTGAAAGGTTTCAAAACTTATCCTCAAGTTTTGGAATTTAATTTTAATTAAAAAGTATTAATTTTGAAATATTAAATTCTAAAACCCTAAAGTTTTGAAAAGTTCAATTTACACCCTTATGGTTTATTAATTAAATTAAGAGTTTAATTAAAAGAGATAATTAATAAATCATAATTATATGGTTTAAGATTAATCAAATTAAAGGTCTAATTTATTAATAAGTTTAAACCACCTAGTATTTTAAAAGTGTAAAATACACCCTTGTATTATATAACATTTAAAAGTTTAACATATTATATATGTATAAGTAAAGAGTCAGTCTTACCGTTAGTATGTCTCATTCACGAATTTGGTCTCTAAGGGGTGTTTAAGGAAATTGCCTGTAAAATGGCGATTGAATGGGTATCCACTCTTACCCATCACACTCTTGACTAGTGGAGGGTCGTTAGCCGAACGGGTAGGATAGGACACAACCTTCCATTATAAGTATAATGAAATACGAAGTAACTAAACACTTTTATAAATTCCCAAATCTTAGTTACTTTAGGAAAAATGTGGAATTGATGCTATTCCATGAAATTACACTTTGTACCTTTGCCAAGACGTTAGTGGAGCGTGTGTGGTTAACCGGCACACTAATTTGAGTCTAGCGAAGGGGGCAAAGGGTGGCTCGATGTTTGTCATAGATCAATGGAGCGTATGTGGCTAACCGGGACATTGATTAGGTGATTGTAACATTGGGGGCACCAAGTATATTTGCATGGTTATCCACACGTTGTTTGTGATCCTCGGCATCCCAATCACAAACATGAAGGGCATAATCGAGATTAAACATGCCATTGAAAAGTTCAATGAATCTCAAAAGATCTAGGAGTTTTAATTCATTTAAAACCTAATTTTTAATTTTCGTTTTTCATGGTGGAAATTGGTAAATCGTCATTTACCTACCTTCAAATGTTTTGTGATTTGGATTACGGCATCCCTCTTCCAAATTGTAGAATATTGTGTTGGATCCTAGACTCAATATTTCATTTGGGTGATATATTGAGGATTTCATCAACTAACTTGAATTTCTCCCGTTTTGTAGATGTCAAAATCTAACAACTATGGTCTTCCTGAATTCTTTGGAAAATGTTTTCCACATGAAGATGATGTTCCACGATTGGATTGTGGAAATGGAAATCATGCTTCACTTCCTCCATCTCCTCCAATAATTCTCCCTGACCCACATGTTCAAAGACTTGAAAAGTTCAAGGTCACTCAAGCCCTATTGGCAAACAAACATGAAGATGGAAAGTCTGTATGTGCTCATGGCTTGGATATGAAGTTGCATATTGAAAGATTGGGAATGTTGGGTGTCGAAGTCTCTAGGAAGCTGGATGTTGACTTGGTTCTTCAATCACTTCCTGACTCATATAGTGAGTTCATTAGAGAGTACTATATGATGGACCGAGACGTGACCCTCATTGATTTGACTTATTTGCTTGTTGCTGCTGAATTATAAATGATTTGGCGGACTGGTCAAGAAAATTTGTCTGGTAAATCAATGTCCCAACCTTCTATGGACAATGGCAACATTGGAAGTCCAAAAACGTTTTCTCTACGCAAGAGAAAGGCTAAGTCTCAGATAGTCCCTTGTGCCATTCCCAAAGAATCTGTGTGTTTCTACTGCAAGAGAAGGGGCATTGGTTGCGAAGCTGCCCTGACTACCTGAGAGATCTAAGAGATGGGAGAGTCAAGATGTATGACTCTGCTTCAGGTAAAATCCACTATCTAACTCTATTAAGTTCCTATTTGTAGATTCTTAATACATGATGTGATATGATTACATTTTGATGTTTTGTAGGATCAAAGAAAAGAAAGGAAGCTTAAAGGAAGAGTGAGCTGAGTCTGATCACGAAGAAATGGATTTCGATCGCATAATTCGAAGATCGGATTTTTGAGCTGTTGTTCAACAGTTATGATAGATTGCTTAGGAATATGTAATAAGCATAGTTTTCATTTGAATTGCGTTGTAAGGACAAGTTTTTTTCCGCGTTTATAAATAAATGAGATTTTGATTTTTATCTTATTTGTTTATCCTTGCAATGTTATTATTGGAAATTGATGTTTATTTGTTTCTATTGTTAGCAATATTGAAATGGATATGATTCTTAGTTATTTGTGGTAATTTACCAACTAAGGAATGATTCTCGTCGCCCAAGTTTCAATTGGACAAAAACTTGGAATCATGCAACTTCTATTGTATGATGAATAAGAACCTTCGTATTTGGGAAATTAAGACTAATTCCTTGTTCACATAAGTATATGAGTCAAGTGAAGGACTAGGAGATCTAGTACGCATTGTTGTGCACTAAGCCAGGTCCACCACAAAGAACGATAAGATTAGTCATCATGATTTACTAAATGTCTAGTAAATTTGGTTATGCTTACAAGATTAAGTGTAATTATGAATCATTGAAAAGTTTCAATGAATGGCAGAACGAATAAGAAGAATCAATTGGGCAGAAAGGTAAAAGTTTCTCCAATCTGAAAAGATGGGAGAGTACCTTAGTATCATGTTTTATGATCATCTTGTTGATTATGAAACCATATCACTATTGATCCTCTAAGGACACCTTAATGCACTAGTATGGATAAGAAGAGGAATCGGAAATTGTTGAAATGGTTAAATCAAAAGATGAATCATACTTCGTTCCAAAATCAAGTCTCAGAGTCGTACTCCAAGATTGTGACTTGAGTGACACATCTTAAGAAGTTTTAACACACTCATCATATGTGGAGTAGAAAAATGTTTTTCTTACTCTTGCACGTTTGAGATTGGTAAGTTGTGATGTCTTGGATAAGACAAAGACCAACTAAGACCAATGTGTGTAGTGTTTGTCTTGATAAGAATCCTCACTAACTCTTGAATATTTGTTTGCCAAGAAATGTTTCTTGAAAAGAGAATCTTATATGTCAGGAGGTTAGTGGGAGTCTAAATGATCTTGAAAATGTTCAGGAACTAATCAAGAGTAAACCTATTAGACACTAGCACACGACTTGAGGTTCGTAACCTATCGTGTTGCCCTTTTTTTTCTGTGCCATTCAAGTTTAAGTCAACTATGCATATGAGTTATATGAGTTCTCAATTGATTGCATAGAGGCAAGGCACCCTGATCAATGGAAAGTACATTGATAGGTAGGGTTGATCCGCTCAAAAAAAACTTGGAAGCAATGGTGGGACCCTTGATGGCAAGAAATTAAGGATGATCTAGTTCAGTCCATATGAGTATGGATTTGTCAAAAACATTGTCTTATGAATATGGTTATGATAGATTCACATGGATAGGAGCACATACACCATAAAATCTATGTGTCATAAGGTTTCTCTCCTTCATAAAAATGATTGTGAGGAAACGCTTTCACTAGGAAGATTTTAAGGAGATAGCGATTGTGTAAATTGCATTCTCAAATTCGATTATGATTACGGCATCCCTCTTCATAGTTCGAATTGTGAGATTTGGCAATTAGTTTGAACATATAAGACTTATTCCTATAAGTTATAAAATGGTTTAGACATACATATAAGATATCTAAAGAAAGGTGTATGAGTTTGAGAAGCTTAGATAAAGGCTTATCGAATCTTATCGTATTAGAAATATGAACTTTGGAAGTCAATAAGTATTGATTTCTAGAAGTCCAACTGTTTTCTAAATACGTGTCAAAGCTAGTGGGAGCATAAATGTTATGCTGGTATGGATATAATCATCATGTTAGTGGGAGCATGATTATTATTTTTGTTGCAAATTAGCAATATTAATTATAGAAAACAAAAGGTTTCACTTTGCAAAGTTGCAGGGGTTGAAAAATTGTTTTTCTATAATTAAGGGAGAGAATATTATACTTCATTTCAAATCTAAAAGCTTGAATCGAGAAATTTTAATCAAATTTAGTCAAAGGACATATATGGATGTTATGTTGAAAAGATTCAACATAAGGAAATTCTATATATGGAAAGGATAATTGCGTTCTCAAAATTTGGTTATGATTACGGCATCCCTCTTCATAATCAAAATTATGAGAACATGGCAAATATAAATATTATAGCAGGAGACTGGTAAAGTATCACGTCTTTATGTAACACATTATGAATTTTGTCCCATACGTTTCGGGTATAGGATCGATTGCATATGCTATAATATTCGACCGTTCTAATTTTACAAATGTCTAGGGCATTAAGAGGGAAAAAGGACCAGAACCGGATATGACTAAAAATGATTAAACAACTGTCAAGGACAAGCTAAGGTTCGCCAAGGATTGGTCACTTGTGGGCAGTTGGAAGTATAGTAAAGAATGGACCATAATGACATTATTATGATTATATAGGATTCTATTAATAATGAGTTGTCATATGGAAAATATGGAAATGTTTCCATATTGGAAGTTGGACGTTAAGAATCTATGTCTAGATTAGAAACTTTTATGCAAGAAGGATGTTCAAAGGAATGTACTTTGAATGTGAGACTTCATATCTATGGAATTGCCTTGAAACAATCTCCAATAGAGTACTTTGTAATATCATTGGCAAAGTCTTGGTAGCTTTGGTGCTGTGACATTACCAAAGGATCGTTGCATAAAATGCTAGAATCTAACATATTCTAATAGTGGCAAGAATTTGGTATTCTTACACTAGTGATAAGGATTAGGAATTCTGAAATGAGCATCATTGGAAATATTTTCAATTGATCTATTTCACAAAGAAAGGACCATAGGTAAACATAGTGTGCATGTTTAGAGCATGTGACAACTATTGTTATAATTCAAGTAATAAGTTGATTATCCGAAACATTATACAATGAATAATGTGTAATCAATATGGTGACTAAATAAAATGTGTTTTATTTATACTCACAAGTTTGAGGCCATATTGGATTCGATTATTCTTGTGTTTCACTTTGCATGTTTTGACTTCCCGAATAATAAGATTATTCAAACCATCCACAGTCGATAAATACTTTGGAAGTAGGTATTGAAGCTAGACTGTCGTGAAGTGGTTTGTAGACTGTCTAAAGTGTATTGGACATAGCAAAAGTTTGCTATAACGTTCATGAGTGCTTATGAATTAAAATTTGAGCATTGGATTAAACCCACGCTCACTTGAATCACTTCATGGATTTTATCACGGGTGATTAGTGAGACGATAATATCTTATATTCTTAAAACAGAGACATGCACTACAAATAAAATGACTTTTAGTGGCACAAAGTTTTAGTGGCATTTTGCTTTTGTGCAATTATAACCTACCTTATTGCCACTTTTGTTTATGCCACCATAACTTTTAAGATATAGTGGCACTTTATATCTTATGACACTATTTTCCATGCCTATTAGTGACATAAAAAGTTAAAATGCCACTAAAACATTTTATTTTATATAATAGGAAAAATAAAACACTTTATCAAATAACCCAAAATGTAAAACTTGAAAACATTTTCATTACCGCCTCGTCGTCCCTACTTTGCGGGAAAATGAAAATTTGTATCACATAATCCCGCTTTTAGGAGGAGGTTGTCGATTCAGAATTAGGAACGAGCTTTCTTCGTGGTTCCCTGCACACATGCTCCCGCTCCGCCCTACTCCGCCGCTCAATCGTCTAGACCTAGATCGTCTGCCATACTCTGCTGCTCTACCGCACTACCCCAGTTGCCCGCCTTTCAACGCTCTTCCACACTGCTCCGCCTCCTTCTACTCTGCCAAGCCCTAGATCACCTGCCCTTCTACGTGTTACTGTAAGTTTCTTTCATGCTAGTCATTTTCCATCTCGCTGTAACTTTTCTTATGTAAATTTTCTAGAAGGCATTGTTGCAAGGAAAGGAAAAGTTAGTTTTGATGATTGTAATCCTACTTCAGGTTAGGGCTAATGTATGTTCTATATTGGCATAGAAAGTCATCGGACCTTATAATAGAGTGGACCGACGATTCTGTAGGCGTAGATATCGTTTTTGGCTTTGTTATTTTCGTCTCTATCGTGTGTTCATGTAACTAGTTGAAGGAGAATCGTGAGAATAATGGGAATATTGTTGTGAATGGGGTAAGGTTGGGTCTATTTAGGTTTATGGTTTTTCTATACGTGCTCTTTACGAGGGTTTTAGTTCCTGCATTCTTTCCCGATGGGGTGAATTATAGGGTACTGGAAAACAATATTCTTATAATTTGTATGGTGATGTTTTACATTTAACGCCATCTAATCAGGATGGTGATGACAAAGCAATCCAGGTGGTTGTATGGAAATCGAGTATTCCTTCTTGTTTTGTTGTTCTTACTAATGTATAAATGATACCTCAACTATTTAATCTTCAAGTAGTTTTCCTAGAGCGATTTGATATGTAATGATTGTTTGAGTTTTAGCTTTATTCATGACATTTAAGTGGTAGGTTGATGGTATTTTGTGAGTCATTAGCCATATTTGATTTCAGAAGTTTCACTCCCATTGTAGTCTAGCTTTGCACACTTGTATTTGTAAATTATCCTACTTTTAGATTATTTCTATGACCATATGACCCTTCCTCCCATATATTCAAACTTCACTTTTTCTTGGATTTAGAACATGAAGTCTTTAATAATCTTTTTATACTTCTTAAACAAAATGAAGTCAGACTAAATTTTATGATGTTAATGGTGCCAGTCTGTCCTTTGTATATTTTTTCCTTATGGTAAGCCCAAAACCACAAAACATGCTATGTATAATGTAAACTAAATTAAATAGTTTGTCAATAATTCAAATTATTCATCTTTACTGTAGGTTTCAACGTGGAAAAAGTTCAGTACAAGAATATGATGCTCATGGTTTGGGATATTGGTGGGCAAGAAAAGCTTCAGACCTTGTGAAGGCATTACTTTAATGACACAAATGGATTGGTAAGAAATAAGAATAACAATAATTTGTCTTGTATTTTAAGCTATTTTTTATTTAACAAGTCAAATCGTTTAGTGATTGTAATTTTTTTTTTAAATCTACTTTAAGAGGCCAAAACAGTGACATAAGTTATCTCATCTTGTTGTTGGGATGTAATCTCTTGATTTTTAAAATATGTACTATACTGAGATTATTATTTATAGATTTATGTTGTTGACTCTTTGGACCAAGATAGTATTAGAGAGCTAGGTATCATAATTATATTTTGTATATTGGTTTAATTAGAATGACGGCAGGGGAGGACACACTTTTGATCTCTATTTTTTGTTAATTGGAAAAAAGAGGAGTCACTTTATTTTATCCACTGCATTCCTCTATTACTTTGGATTTTTTTATGTACTATATATCTATGTCATTATATGATTTTGAAATTGTTTATTTGCATATATGAATTTTGATATGTAATTTCATAATTTGTGATTGTAATTAACTGTTTATATTAAGTCCGAACTTAATAGTTTATGTGAATATTTAAACTTCGAAACTACTTCAGATGGTTTGTGGATGATGGGTATGCAAGTAACATACATAGGATGACACCCATGAGTGTTGTGCCACAAGGTAAACACGTGCCTAATTTTACAAGTTTTTATTTTATTTTAATTTTTTAAAAGTTTTATGAGATGAGTTTGTATACTCTTATAGTAATTTACTTTGATGCTTCTTTTTTTGACCGGATAAAGTATGGTTTTGGTTTGATAAGAGAATGGTTTTGAAGAATATTTCTTTAATTGGTATGTCTTTTTAGGATTTTTATTACATAGTTATACATAAAGTCTCTGCTTCTTTCTAAGACTGAATAAATACACTAATAGCTTCATGGATTGATTTTCTTTTGGTTAATATTTTTGTTTCTCTTTCTAATTCCAGGTTTTAAAGGAACGGGACAAGAATGATCAAGAAATGGAAGTCCATAGAGATGGAGAATTACTATATTTTTTAGATGGAAAGGCGGAAAAAATGGGCAAACACTTGAAAATCCTTGTAAATTAAGCATCGATATCCATTGGGAAGCTCTTGAAGTTGCATGCTAATATTTAGTTCATGGTCAATCAAGTTTCGTGTTTCTTCGGCAACTAGTATTTAGTTTGATAGTATTTTGTTTTGAGTACTAGCACAACATTTAGACACATTAGACCTTTTTGAAAACATTTGTGTTTTCAATATTTTGAATATTGTTGTTATACAAGTTTGATTTGAATTAATGATTTTGTTTTTCCGTTTTTTATCTTAATCTTCTATTATTATTTTATATCACATTTAAAAATTAAAAAGTCAGACCTAATTATTAATATATGTATATTTTTGTGTTAAAAAAGTGTTGCTAAAACAAGAAAATAATATTTATTTTAGCAGTCTAGTAGTGGCATAAAAATAATGCCACTAAAACCTACAGGTGTTATAGTGTCATAGTAGAAAAGTGCCACTAAAATCCAATAGGGCTGCAACGACACAACCGAAAAGTGCCACTTAAGGCCTTTAGTGGCAACGTTTTTAGTGACACTTTTTTTTGTGTCGTTGATTGCCCAGTAGGCCTTTAGTGGCACTTTTTCGGTTTTTAGTGGCACTTTTTCCGTGCCACTAAACGTCATTTTCTTTGTAGTGATGTGAGTTGTAATTTACAAGTCGGTTGCACATTGATAATATGTAAACACACCAGTAACTTGGTGTTATAAAACATATTGTTGTGTGTGATTTGATGAGTAGGTACAAGCAAGCATTTGAGTCGAAGTTTATCTGTTCCTTTTACCCAATGTGGGATAAAAGCGATATCTGTGGGCCCCTCGATGATTTAGTGATGACAACCTAAGCGCTTGGCCAAGCCTGGACTAAGTTGATGTGTTCAATTGTAGTCTGTTGTCAGTCGTCATAAATCGGAAATCGGGAAACAACACATGAACAGAGAGTATGATTAAAATCCATGTCTCACTTCATACGATATCTAGAATGGAGGAATATATGATCCTTTATCTAAATGACGCGTTTCTGATAAGATCAGAGTTGACAGCGGCTTTTGAAAGCTACGATTGTTGATCAGGTTCTGAAGTCATATGCAAAATAGTTATTAGACTTATCCAAGTGGGAGATTGTTGGATTAGGTGTCTAAGCCCGTAACTATTTTGGTATGTACTTGACCCGATTATGAGCATGATCCTTTTGGGTTGCCTTCACCATAGCAACTGATAGGATGAACTAAGGAGAAAGAGGATTAATTATGATTTATTAATGTATTATATGAATAATATATTAAAAGAGAAATCATATTGTTTAATTAATATTAGTCAAGAATTAATTAAGAATTAATTTTGTGGCTAAAAGAGATTAATTAAATAAAGGGGACTGATATTGCAATTATATGATAGTTGCAAATTGGGCTATGGATTCCTAATGGAAAGGGCATTGGACGAAATCCATGGGAAGCCCATATGATTTTCATCCACGGGCTTTCTAGAGGGACTCCATGGGTTGCTTAAGGCCTAAGCAGAGAATTAGGGTTTCACCCTAGCAGCCCTCACAACTATATAAGGACCCCTAAGGCTCCCAAAAACGTGTCCAACCTTCTAAGAGAAACCCTAGGACGTTTTTGGTGCCTCCTCCCTCTCTCCTTGTTCATCTTGTTGCTTACGGTGTTTGTGACTCCATTAGAGGTGCAACACTTGAGGCACTAATCTTTCAAAAGTCAAGATCAAGGAGGTTTACGATTATTATTGCTATATAACAATCAAGGTAATAATTCTAACCCTAATCATATGTCAATTTCAGATTTGTATGCTAGTCAATTAGGGTTTATTGCTTTGGTATTAAATGTTGTATGTTTACTTAGAAAAACCTAGATCAAAGCAATTAGGGTTGCATGAACACCATATGAATGATGTTATGCTCATAACCCAACAAGATTATGACTGCGAGATTTTGTATCATCCTGGGAAGGCCAATGTGGTGGCCGATGCTTTGAGCCGTAAAGCGGAAAATTCTCCGATCCGAGATGTTTTCTTGAGGATGAAGGTTACAACACCATTGATGGATATGATCAAGGGGCACATGTGGAGGGATTGAAAAAGGAGAATTAGAAGACTGAGCGGATTAGGAGGCAGATTCCATTGTTTGTTCGAGACAGCTGGGGATTACTGACTCAGTGCGGCAGGGTTTAGGTTCTGGAATTTGGGGGAGTGAGGCAAAAGATTTTGGAGGAGGTGCATAAGTCCAAGTTTTATATCCATCCGGGGGCCACAAAGATGTACCAAGACTTGAGATTAAGCTACTGGTGTTTGAGCGGTGTTTGACCTGCAGGAAGGTCAAAGTCGAGCATCAGATGCCTCATGGAAAGGTTCAGCTGTTACCCGTCCCCATGTGCAAATGGGAGGAGATCACCATGGACTTTATCACAAAGTTACCCAAGACGGAGCGGGGAGTTGATTCTATTTGGGTTATTATGGACAGGTTGACCAAGAGTGCTCATTTTATTCTGATTGCTGAGAGTATATCTGCCGAGAAATTAACGGATATCTATGTGCGAGAAATGGTAGTCAGTCATGGAGTGCCGGTATCGGTGGTCTCAGACCGCGATGTTCGATTGACCTCCAGGTTCTTGAGGAAGTTTCATGAGGAGTTAGGTACTCAGTTGCTTTTTAGCACAACTTACTACCCCCAGATTTATGGACAGAGCGAGCGAATGATGCAAACGCTCGAGGATATGCTTCGAGCATGCGTGTTAGACTTTGGAAGGAGTTGGGATACTTACCTTCCACTAGCAGAGTACTCATACAACAACAATTATCATGCTAGTATTGACCGACCGCCGTTCGAGATGTTGTATGGTCGGAGGTGTAGGACTCCGGTTTGTTGGGGGAGGTTGGACATCGAGTCATGGGAAGCACCGAAGTGGTCCTTAAGACCACCGAGTTGATTCAGCAGGTGCGTGACAGGCTGCGAGTCGCGCAGATTCGTCAAAAAAGCTATGCTGACCGACGCCAATCAGATCTTGAGTTTTAGGTAGGAGATTTTGTTTTGTTGAAGGTGTCGCCCTGGAAGGGCGTCATCCGCTTTCGAAAGGGCATGTTGGGACCCCGATTCATTGGTCTGTTCAGTATCTCAACCCGAGTTGGCAAGGTTACGTATCGATTGGATCTCCCTGATGAGCTGAGTCAGATCCATAACACCTTCCATGTGTCTCAACTGCGGAAGTGTGTATCAGATGAGGATGCAATTATTTCATTGGATGATATTCAGGTGGATAAGAGCCTGAACGATGTTGAGAAGCCCATTGCTGTTCTGGATAGAAAAACTAAAGCTCTTCGAAACAAAGTGGTGATGTTGGTAAAGGTACAATGGCAGCACCGGAGGGGCTCCGAATGGACTTGGGAGCCGGAGGACGAGATGGGAGAGCACTACCCAGACTTATTCGCATCAGCAAACTTTGAGGACGAAGTCTAACCCAAGTAGGGGAGATTTATAACGATCAGAGTTCGGGTAATTACTCTTTTTCCCATTGGAATGAAATTTTGTTGCATGAAAGGTCCCTGCGTACGTTCGGCGTACATATGTGTACGCTTAGCGTACCAGGGAGGGCTGAACGCAGGTGTGTACCACGTACGTGGGGCATACCGAGAGGTAAGCTGGGCGTACGTGGCTGGTGACCAAAACCCTAAATTTTAGGGCAATGACCCTATTTAAATGTTCTTAATCCATTTGGACCTTACCCTAACCAGCCTCCATTACTTTCAAACGTCCCTAAAACCCTAAATCCTTCGTGAGAAACTCTTGAGCTTGGAAGTGCCTCAAATACCTCCTTTTTGGTGTGCTAGCAAAGAGAAGGAAGTGGAAGAAAGTTTTGAACGTGGGAAAATCTTTTGGATCTTGCATTTGGAGCAGCTTGGGAAGCTTGTGGAGGTAAAAAGCTTTCACCTTTCTTATCCTTTTTGCTTGTTGAGTTAGGGTTTCTAGAAATCCACTTTTGAGTCCATAAATCCTCTCTTGGGAGTTTGGGTAACTCCAGAGGTTAGGGAGGTTAGATCTGAGGTTCTTGGCTTGATTATAACATAAAAATGTAAACTTGATGACTTGTATGGCTCCATGCATGAGTTAAGACCCTTGGAAAGGTCTTAATGAGATAGAATGGGTTGTTGGGAGCATATATGGAATGCAAAGGCATAAAGTTGCCAACTTTATGCCTTAGGACCCTTAAAACGTATAAGATCTGAAGTTTGAGCGAAAAGTATGCATGTATTAAGAACTTAATGGAGTGGGATGCAAGTCAGCGTGTACAATGGGGGTACTATGTTTTACGCTACGCGTACAACCCCTAAATCCAGTACGCTAAGCGTACTGAAGAGGTACGCTGGGCGTACGCTCTCAGAGAGCTTTGGGTCTCCAGCAGACTTCAAACTTTTGGGCCCTAATTATATTGGGCATGGACTTGCTGGTGATATGGGGCTGAATTTGTCATTTGGGCCAATGTTGGTATGATTGGGTCAATTGGGCCTTTTGGCCCAATATATAATTGGACTTTGATGCTAGGCCCATTAGTGAAGGAAAGACTTTTGGGCCATCATGGAGGGACTTGGACTTAGGATTTTGGGCTCTTTGACTAGGTTGAGTTATAATCCTAATTAGGGTTATTTGTATATTGTTCAGTGTGAGATTTTGGATTGGTAGTCGAGCAGCTATTGTTATCAGCAGACTGAGGTGAGTCTTCTCACTATACCAATGGGTTGAAGGCACGAATGTTGACCCATTACTTGATATGAGATTTCAATAGTTGAATATGCAATGGTTTTGTTATTTGGTATGTATTAACTTATGTGAAGACCATGGGGGGAGCCCATGGCACATGCTAAGACCATGGAGGGAGCCTATGTCCCTTGGCTGTAAGACCAAGGGGGTAGCCCATGACATTCCAGACGAAGACCATGGAGAGAGTCCATGGCAAACCTACGTATATATATGTGCATGGCATTATGTGGTTATGTGTTTTGTGTATTTTGGGAAACTCACTAAGCGTGTGCTTACAATTTTGTTGGGTGTTTCAGGTACTTCGGGTTCTAAGGGAAAGGGCCCGGCTTGATGGCGCAGCATGCACTCTCTGGTATTTCTGCACTTATCGTTTTAAATACTCTGATATTTTGGACATGA